GGAACTGGTCCGTTGAGGCTTGTTCGACCGGGAGCCGACAATGAACTCCCAGGCCACGCTGAGGCCGGCGTACGCGCCTGGCGATGGCTGTATTCTTCTTGAAGAGCCACTTGAATCGCCTCTTCAAGGGTGTTTGCCTGCACCCGGAACAGCTGAGTGCGTGCGGGGCCCACTCGAAGGCCGTCCATGAACACAGTCATCTTGATGTGTTCATTGAGTGGGTTTCCCACTAGGGACGCCGTGAGCTCCCGTATCTCTTGCACATACTCGTGCAGTTCGCGTCTTCCTTGTTTACACGCGAGGAAGCGCGAACGCTGGCGGTACTCGTAGTTCGCCGGGAGGAACGCGGCTCGGAGCTGTTCGCACAGCTGAGCCCAGGATGTGAAATATCCAGGGGATGTCGCTTCCCGAGTGTACACCCAACTCTTAGCACGACCGCTAAGGTTGGAGAGTGCAAAAGCAACACGCAGTTGCTCGGTCGAGATCAGAGCCGCGTCCATCGCAAGCTCTACTTCTCGGACCCAGAAGTGAAGGTTCTCGCCTTCCTTCCCTTCATACGGCTTTACCTTCAGCCGTATTGGCTTCGGGTGAGGCGGGTTTGCTCCCGCCGCCGGAGCCTGCAGGTTCTCCCGCACATGCGCGATGAGGCCCTGCTCGTACGCGTCGAATGCATTGACGCGCTCGAGCTGCTCAGCCGGTGTTGATACCACCAGGCTCTGCAGGGCCTCCATCCCGAAGATGCCTGCCAGCTTCCGAACCGACTCGAACTGAGAGTCGTTCATATGGGAGAAGTCGTTCCTATCCATGGCAACGAACTTCGGAGGTTCAGGTAGTCTACCCGCGATGGCGTGGATTGACTACAAGTGCTACCAAGTGTGACGGGGTCACACAGCACCTTGCGCTAGAGGAAGTTATCTTCCGAGAGTATACAAACTCTCAGTGAACGGCAGTTCACAGGTCCCCTCTTAATTAAAGAGAGCGAAGTGACCTAAATAAGGTAGATTGTAAACTGAGTATATTTATAGGTAGGTTAAGTTTGTGGTTAATACAAACTATCAGTTACCTATAGAAATGCAATGTCATTAAACCAATGGTTGGTTTTGAATGACCTTGGTACCTTGTACCAAATATCCCGGAGTATGACATGTCATACTCCTGAAGTGTGAAGTGTCACACTTCATGTAACCAGGGTACACTTAGTGCTACGTACCCCGTTACAAGCAGCATCTCTACGATTGGATTGTTGGACGGCAGCTTGTTGGCCGTCCGGTTGGCCGTCCGGTTGGCCGCTCTGACATTATATTCAAGGTACAAGAGATAGCGTTGCTGAGTTGTGACCAAGATGTTGGGGAGGGTTGGTACAAGCGCTTCAAGTCTCGCTTTCCTGCGCTTACAGGACGAACAGCCGAATCGCTTTCTTTAAAGCGGAGCTGCGTTATCCCTGCAGATCTCACTACCCTTTTCAACACGCTAGCTAAACTAATGATAGAACTGAAATTGGACAGCTCTCGAGTGTTCAATATGGATGAAACCGCGTTTCAAAAGCAGCTCAAGAGCAAAAAAGTGGTTGCGGTGCGTGGCTCAAGTAATGTGTGGAATAGTGAGCCTACTGCTAACTTCCATCTTACTATCGTTGCATGTGGAAATGCTGGTGGGTTTGCGGTGCCACCAGCTTTTATTGTGCCTGGAAAAACGGTTTCCTCCCGGCTGCTGGAAAACAGCGGCCTCCCTGGGTCGACTGTCTCGACGTCTCCTTCGGGATTTATGAACACCGGGCTCTTTGAAGAATGGCTTAAGCTTTTCGCACAATCAGTGCCTTGCTCTACGCCACGCCCGCTGTTGCTAATTCTGAACGGGTGTGGATCTCACCACTCAGCTTCAGTGGTCGACACTACTGCAGATTTGAATGTGATGCTGGTTTTTCTCCCTCCAAATGCAGCCCACCTTCTCCAGCCCCTCGATGTAGCTGTATTCGCAACACTTAAGAGCAAGATTCGCAAACTCATCAGCGAACTGGTAGAAGAAGACGACAATGGCTACTTCAATATCAGCAAAGATGATGCTATCCAGGTGTCTTGCCTTGCGTGGAAAGGAGCGAAGGTGGGTCGCAACGTCTCGAGGGGTTTTAAGGCCTGCGGATTGTATCCACTTTCGCTAGTTAAGATGGGCGCACGCCTGGAAAACTTTTCCCGCAATGGCGCTCCGCGGCACGGGCAGCTTGCCACATGGCTACAAATGCGAGCTGTCGTTGAGGGTGAGATTCTAAAACTACCGGCTGCACCGCGCAAGAACGACGACAAGAAGCGGAAGCGGGTCTCTGTTGGTGGGCGCCTTCTCACTCACGAGGTGCTGCAGCAAGTTCAAGCTTCCATTGCCGCTCATTCTACGAAGAAACGCCGACAGCCAAATCCAGCCCCATCGACGACTGACTGTGCTACTGAGATCATCGAGTCCGTACTAGTGTAGGCGTGTGGGCTGCATAGCAAATAAAGTGGATGGTTAGCTGACGTGTTTGCAACCGAAGAATTACATCACTTACCAAAACGAGAGCGACATTAACTGCCCCGCTACCGTCGATTCTCGTGCGCTTTCTTGCGCTTTTGAATTTGACAGCATGGCCCCCGCCCTTTCGGGTACTAGCACATCACAGGAGGGGGCCTTGGAGCAGCGGAATACAGGGGGTTCGAGCCACATCCCTTGGGCAGGTGTGTGACGCGCGTGGGGAGGCGAAGGCGTCTTCGCGGGCCCAGAGAGGCCGGCGATCCGTGCCGTGTCGTGTGCGCCGTGGAGAGCTTTCCCGTTTGTGGCGTTTTTATAAAAGTGGTTACAGCCTTGAGAATAAATAACCTATCCAATATGTTTCGCAAGCCCAAATATGTCATATAACGATTATCCTAGCCCTTTCGATGGCGAGCTACAAAGCATACATAATGCAAGTCAAAATTCCGGCCTCTAACTGATCTAGGTCGCATTTCGAGCCGTCGGTTTGAATCGCGGCCTCGAATACGACAATACTCAATGAGGTTTCAGCCTTCCTAGAAAGCGCAAAACGCGGGCTTTCAGGACCTGTCATATTTTGTGCTCTTCTTCACCAGTGTTCTCACAGCTCCGTCCTAAAGACACTTCGTGCAAACCGGCCCCAAATTGGTCGTTTCCCTTATCTATTTTTCTCTGAAGTACTCTATGAAAAACGAGGTGCCGAGATTACCTCGGCAAAAAGAAATAGGTGCAGCTCCTACTTCTTTTGGGCAACGATGTTTATTTCAGAACGGATGCAGATAAGGAGGAAGTTGCACGAAAGGCGCCTATGACGGCGATCTGCGCTCGGAAACACCACAGTGTCGTTAAGGGGGTTTAAGGACAAACTACAGTCAGTACAGCGTCGATCTTCAAAAACATTACATGCAGCGGTCTTTTCAGTACACACACAGGCTCGCAAGACGGAAGCGCTGAAAGAGAAGAAGCGCATAACCTCCTGGGCATGGGGGCCAGCCTGGCCCCGGCCAGGGGCCTCCTAGTTTATTCGTCACAAGTTGTTAATGTATTCTTTGCCATTACGTGTCCTCGCCATAAGTCTGCACCTTGCCACCCTCTGTATGTGAAGCTATGATTTAGTGAGATGACGCATGGCGCGTCACCGGGCTCTCCGGCCTTCTACTACTAAGTAGAGTAGGTGCCATTCGCACAGACTTGTAGGGCAGTAGGTGTAGAGCAATAGGAATTAGAATGTAGGACACGTGAGTGTCGGGCAAAGTACCACGACAGAACCACGGAGCTCTGGTGCTTGCTGCCTCTCACTCGATGTGCGTGCAGCACAGCAAAAGCAGTTGTGAGCGAGAGCTGCCAAGCACCTGAGCCTCCATGTTCCGCAAAGTTAGATTAGCACATACTCAACCTAAGATAGTCGATAAAAAGCTAAGTATTTCACCATCACCTGCAACGCAGTTGCAGTTGCTCACCGCCACCAATGACGTCCTTCATACAGTCCTTGGTAGCTTTCGCACGCAGCTCGCACGTGAGCGCGTTGCAGACCGGTACGCAGGGATGCAGTACGACTGCATAGACACGCGTAGGATTGTAGGTCGGATCGGTAGTACTGGTATTGCTAGTGTCTTGGGCTGTGGCAATGACGTCTGGCACTGGACACTGGCAGACTGTAGCAAGTAGCATCTCACAGTAGCAGGATAGCATCTCACGCTTCCACTTGATCTCGGCGATGTAGTGCCGAATCGACGCGATCACATCGCTTCACGCGCATACACCCCCACTGAGAATAGTCGTATGATAGCCACCACCACCGTAATTGGCTTAGCTGCTTAGTCTCCCACTCGAATCGCACATGTCCGTAGTCCAGCGCAGTTGATTGCATGCTAGTGTTGTGGTACAACCACAGGGTACTAGTTCAACCAGTCGGCACACAGGCACACTAACGGATGCGCCCGAATAAAATCCCCCTTCCGAATCGTGTCCTGTGGGGTGCTACATGCCTGCACTATTAAATACAAACCTCTCCCGAATAGAGTCCTTTTACAAACTATCAAACCTGTTATTACAAATTTACTGACCATTCATTATACAGAGAGGAACAGTTTTCCGGCAACAGGCCGAAAGTTG